ACCAAAACCACCACGGACGACACACTCGTATGTGGGGTTTGTGATGCTGTTGGATCTATAGAACCTAATAACAAATCAATCCCTCGAGTAACATGTTTCTCAAACAAAGGTCCAGGTTCTGTCATCGGTTGATATAATTGATAAAATCAATAGAAAGATTATGGAAAAAAAAGAGCTTTTGAAGCCAACATAATACAAAGAATAAAAGCCAATGTGACTGTATTGGCGTTGGAAAATAGCAAATTGTGACAGGAATTAAGGAAGCTAATGGTTAATAAGTCACCCTTAACTACAGAACACCTATTATTATTCTTTAACCACCTACCTACGTGTGGTCACAGAGACCCCTGGCAAAATATGTTTACGTACCCAGAGCAAACATGCACAATTTTTTATTTGTTAAGCACAAGTTGGACACTATGTGATGTCTAGGACACTAAATTTGACAACAGTGCATCCTTATCATCCTCTATACAGAATGAAAAGGAGAGAATGATGTTAAATTAAGTTTTAAGATTAGAGAATCATGCCGGAATGGAAACCTGTTAGTGTATAATTTTAGCCACTTTCTGCTGAAATGTTTGTATTTTTATAATTAGTCCTTACCACAGACTCAGAACTGATGAGTTGCAACAGGAGCTCGTTTGCCTTTAATGATTTATCTATAAACTTGTGGAATTTTCTAATCATATGGTAGCAAATGTAACATACGCAGGTCGGCCATATGTCACCCATTACAAGCTAAAATAACATACAATAATGATACATAAAATGTCATAACCAACCTATTAATAAACTTAATGTGTAAATAAACCTTTCCATATAAATAGAATCACATATTTATGTTGATGGGTGCCAATGCATAATGGACCAAAAGTATACTAAATTAGAGTACTCTTTAAAATAAGCTAGTTTTATACCTATATAATAACTAGTTGATGGAAAAAGTGAGAAAACCTATATTTTTAAATTTTAATTTATATTACTAGAACAAAATTGACTTGGTCTTGACAAACAAGTTTCCCTAGTATTTCTTTTTTATACAGAACTAGATGACTCGGTGTACTTCGTATCACCTATCTTAACGACATGTACACCCACCCTTCGTTAAAATGGCTGAAACGTCAAATGTCTGACATAAAATTAAATAAGACAGTTTTTAAGGGAAAATTAAATTGTTGTATTTACTACCTTCCTCGCAATTTATCTATATTTTGTCACTGTTTACACCTTCCCTAGACCTCTCAAGACCAAGATACGATAAATCTGTTCAGCCATTCTGGAGTTTTAGCGAGACTAACAAACAGCAATTGATTTTTGCATATATACATTTAATTTGTAATAATTTATAAATCTAGCACTTAGTGCTCAAAGGTAAAACTGTACTTCCAGAGTCCAAGAATTGACACTTCAGTATCTTTTGGTGAAAAGGTTTCAAACTCATTGAAAATTTTCAAAATGGTTTTACCCCTATTTATTATGAAATGTAAAAGTTTCCAATATTTTTGCTAAAATACTACCCGTGCATAAATGTAGATACTTCATACAAACATATTTATCAGAAACCTTTTCAACAAAAAAATGCGAAGTTACAACCATCATAACTGTGAAGTTTATAACTTTTGGGCCCAGGAAGTACAGTATATCCAAGAGCCGCAATGCATAATCAATTAAATGGATTATAGAGACCTCAACTGTGGCAATCAGAGTCAGAGATGAGAGATCTTACCGGAACATCAGTGATATTTTCATAAATCTCTTGAAGTGGCCCATTCAATATTGAATACATACGGCTATGATGTGTCAAGCATACTCTGCATGCTTGTAAACGAGACATATTTGAATATTTTTCGCTTTTGGAATAAAACAAGATTCGCTAGCAATAGCAATTATTTTTAATTCACATTAAATCACTGTAAAACAAATCGCAGTTCTCGGAGAGGTACGTTCACAGATAGTGTTGCCGATAGACAGTCGACTATCAATGATTAATCAGTGTGACCAGATAAAATTTTACGAAAATACCGAGGCACCTCAAAAAAATACTGAAATATACCGACTTACATAGGACAGATATACCAATAAAAATACTGATTTTCTTAACACGTTTTATTTATTCATACGTACTCACAATAAATGTTAGAGTTATATTTTCACATCCTTTTCGAAGGATTAAAATTTACACAACCTCCTTCTTTTCTTCACGCTCTATCTAATAGTGCAAACCGCATTAAAATCGGTCCAGCAGTTGTAAAGTTTTAGGCGAACATACATTTTGCAAGTCTGATTAATACTATATATTGATTGATAATTGTATATGTAGTATTACAATACTACAACGCCGACAACGGCCGTCTTTCTTGTCATATCTGTAACTTACTCATAGATAACATGTATAAGTATAGGTAAACTAAATCCGGGGAAGTCCCCAATGTTCGCGTTCCGAGGAATTCCGCAAACATTGTCGCAAAGACGATCACTCACTACGGTGTTGCCATAACTTCTACCAATATATACCCAAAAATACTGACTGCCAGCAATATACCTGAAAATATACTGATGTTCGGAAAAATCGATGAAATATACTGAAAAAGTATTAAAATACTGAATCTGGTCACACTGTGATTAATCAATAGTCTATCGATAGCCAGCCAATCGTATGACAATCAATTGGCTTATCGATAGTATCGATACTATCGATGGCACAGAAAAAGCCATTACTATCGGATGAGTTAAATACTATCGATAGCATTGTAGTTCGTTAATAACAAACTATAGATAGTATCGATACAATCGACTTTATTTGCAACCATACTATCGATAGTTTAACAATTTGCAATAGTATTGTTTACAATTTTCGGGTATTATAGTCAATCACAAACTTTAGTCTAAAACAATCGCGATACTATCAATAGTTTGTTATTAACGAACTACAATAGTATCGATAGTATCTATAGTATTGCACTCATTAGATAGTATTGCCTTATTCTGAGCTATCGATAGTTTCGATACTATCGTAAACAGTCGATAGTTTTAATATCGATAGTTCGGCAACAATATTCACAGACCAAGTGGTTAAGAGAACAAGTTGACCAATAACTAGGGATGAAACGATACGAGTACATACAAGTAACTACTCGATACTTTTCTTTCGATACCAAGTACTTTTGGCATCGATACTTAAGAACTGAGTAACAAGTAGTATCGTAAAGTAAGTACTTGTATCGGTACTCGGTCGGTCACTCACTGAGAAGTAACAAAAAAGCTCATAGGTAGATTATGTACTCTACGGTAAGGTGTCTACTTGGAATTTTTGTTTCGCGAACGCTTCTTTTCTACTGCTCAGTTGGCAGCCTTGCGTATGATTTATATTTTTTCCAATTGATTTAGTCAGTCATTCGTTATCGCGTGGCGTGAGCCGCTATTTTGTTTTCGTTAAATTAAAACTGTGACTGAATTTGTACTTGTTATATCGTTCGTTAAAATTTATCGATACAAGTAAGTATCGATTCTTTTCATTCGATTCCGAGTAGGCAATGATACTTTATGAACGATACAGTATCGAGTAAAAGAATCTATACCTAGATGTTATGGTTTCATCCCTGCCAATAAGAGAACAAGTTGGTTGTAGTGTTACCAGGAAGCCATTTCTTCCCCCCAAAACTTACCCGATATCCCCCCAAAATACAGGTTTTTAAAGCAAAAACCCCCAAAAATTTCGATTTTGAATATGATTATGATTATTAACTGACAAAACGACGGCCATCACCATAACGTCATTGCAAATGCAAAATATAGCCACAGTTTTAATCTAAGCTTATAACTAATGTTTTCATCCGTCTTTCCTCTTCATTCTGTATAGAAAATGACAAGGATACACAGTTGTCAAATTTAAGGTTAGGTTTATACTAGTTAGGGAATCACGTCAGAATTGACATTGACACTAGGGATGCAAAGTCTTATATCGATATTTATATCTAAGTCAGGAAAATATCAATATCCGATATATCGACCATTTAACTCGATATATCGTTTTTTTTTCTTTTTTTTGCTTTGTATTAAGTTTGCAAAGCAAAACCCTATAATCAAGGAAGCAAAGGTTTCCGAAATATCGATATTTAGAATGTGGGCAGGTAAATATCGATATCCGATCCGATATATCAGCCATTCCAACATTTCCAACACGATATTTTCTATATTTTTATAGCGCTGTAAGAAGTATCAAATCAAAAGCAATTTCGAATCAAAGATATTTATTTTGTAAAAAATGTTTGCACGCAGCCAAAATCAGAATAGATAATCATATGAAAAACAATTGTTATGTATTAGTAAAACCTACACATCAGGGGCGTGCCCATGGCTTCAGAATAGGGTAAGCCCAAAGCTTCCAAAATTACTATACCTATCTTACTTTCTTGACTTGGCGAGCGAGCTTAAGAAGATTTGTATAAGATTCTTAATTTTATTTTGTGTTATATTACAATGATATTAAATTTCAATTAATCAGTAGTTGACAATTATCTAGAAAGAGAGGCAAGGATTTTATTTAAGTGCATGAGTTACCATTAGGTATACGATTATACCTATATACGTTGGTGTTGATTCTGGCATGATTATCTAAACTTAAAACTAAATTTAACATCAGTCTCTCCTTTTCATTCTGTATAGAGAATGACAAGGATACACTGTTGTCAAATTTAATTTTAGGTGTAGAGAATCATGCCAGAATCTACACCAGTTTAGTGTATTTCTTGGGGTTCAAGATTTTTTTTATACATCTATAAGCTCTTGCGATTTCAAAGCAATAGTTATTTCGATATTATTCAATTTAGATAGTCATAGCAGGTAAATTAATTGATATTATTGTGTTCAAATTTAGTCTACGAAATATCGATATTTTGGAATTTCCGATATCGATATTATCGATATCAGTGAATTTTAAATATCGATATAAATAGCGTTATTTTGGTCTCGATATTATCGATATTCCGATATATCGTTGCAACCCTAATGACACCATATTCTTGTTAATGTGAGTGTGATTTGTTATTTGTTTTTGTTGTGAATTAAAAATAAATGCGAGTGAATCCTGTTTTATCGCAAAAAGTTAACTGAAAATATGCAGTAATGACTCGTTTACAAGCATGCAGAGTATGCTTGGCACATGATGGCCGTATGTATTCAATATTGAATGGGCCACTTCAAGCGATTTATGAAAATATCACTGATATTCCGGTAAGATCTTGTCTCTGATTGCCATAGCTGTGGTCTAAATAATTTGTTTGATGAATTCTTCTTTACGCTCTTTTAAATCGAAATTAAATTAATTGGTGATGGTGACCAAAGTGGTCTTGGAAACCTAAATGTAATTTTCTTAACAAAACCGGTACCAACTAGGTCCAACATAATAAAGAAACCATTCCACTCCAATAAAATTCCATTTAAGTTTATTATATCTTTGATGTAAGCATTAAATTATTATAAATTCTATATACTTAGGTACTTAAATAAAAATGTTATTCAGCATACAGGTTGTATGGAAGGACCATGTGGATTTTGTTTTAGTAGTATAAATTCCATTTTACTCAATATTAATAAAAAAGATACTTAAATATGTATAATAATCAGTCATCATAGTTACATATGAAAATATTAGTTTACAAGAAAAAAAAATCAATTTTCTTCATTTTTCATTTAATATTTATGATGGATCTGAGATATGCAAATTATTCCTGTGATTCTGATTATTTGGGAAGATTTATACATCAAAAGTATGTGTTTAAAGGTTGATGATGACATTGTATTTATTAACCTTAATGAAAACTGGCTCTAAGATAATAAATTTAAGAAAGTGGAGTTGTCACTCTAGGTCAGTGATTCCCAAAGTGGTCTATATCGACCCCTAGGGGTCTATGACGACCTGCAAAGGGTCTACGTAAGTGAAAAAAAATATTGGGGGTCCATGAAATGAAAATGGGGGTCCACAATAATGGATCTCAACATACACTGATAGTACTTATTTACTTACATTATGCTATCTTCTATTAAAAAGACATATACATTATTTATAAAAGTACCTATGAAATAATAAAAAATATTATATATTATATGTTTATAAAATTTTGTAAGTTGTAAGATATTCGCTTTGTGGTCGCAATACATTTTGAAGTTGTATAAACCTGCATATAATGATAAACCAGTATCATCTTGTTACACTAACTTCCCTCCAGATAGAAATTTACAAAAAATCAATATCAGGTAAGTAGGGGTCTAACCAAAACCTAAAAACATGCAAAGGGTCGACACAAAAAGTATGGGAATCTCTGCTCTCGGTGCTAGGTGGAAATGGTTGCCAAACAGACAAATACAATATCATTATCCTGAAAATCTCTGAAAGATAAGTTTTGCTTTACCTCAATCAAGCCCAAGCTCTTGATTGACTCTCTGCCAATACAAATACAGTGTAAACTCCATGTAACGTCACTTGATATAACGACAAACTCCCTAAAGCATTGCAAACACTCGTCTTTGGTTGGTTTAGTTTGTTTTCCATACTATGATACACTCCATATAGCATTACACCCACTCAAGAACGTCAACAATTAAGTAAAAAAAGGTACCTTTAAGTTGCCAAAATTAGTGAAAATCACGCAGCTGTGTACGTATTTTTGTCGCTTTATTATCCTATCCCATAATAAACTTGACTGTCGGCAACATGTAAACCAAACTTTCAAAAAAATTCATTCTTTTGTTTACAATATGGGATTGCACGTATAGATTGTTGTTGACCATGACTAAAAAAAATATGATACAACAAAAGACATCAAACAAAAATAATAGAATATACGCAATAGCGTTCAAATAAGATTAATTTTTTATGTACATAAGTACTAGCTTAAATTGAACTTTTTCTTGTCATAATTCCGATTTTTCTTCTTTCCATATAAAGACAACTCTCTATAACGCCATAAAATGTACAGTCCCTTTAGTGTCACTATATAGAGTTTACACTGTAGATGTTTATAATTTTCATTATTTTAGTATCAATTATCTATATAAAAAAGACACTAAATAGGCATTTAAAAGATCTTAGGTGGACTATGATTTACCTGTATTAATTGCTTTTAAGAACTATGATATTTAACATTTATTCTAGTCCTAGCAAATATGGTAAAGGAATTGTCTACCATATAATGTATCATCATTGTTTGTGATTTTAGCTAGTAATGGGTGAGATATGGCCTACATGCATATGTTACATATGCTACCATATGATTAAAAAAATCCAAAATTTTATACATAAATCACTAAAGGCAAATGAGCTCTTGTTGCAACTCATCAGTTCTGAGTCCGAGGTAAGAACTTATTATAAACATACAGACATTTCAGTAAAAAGTTCTGTTTTAAGGCAGCTGTTAAGAGCAAAAAAATATATACCTATGTTATTGCTAAAACCCTTATTACAAAACATAGGCTAAAATTAAACCTGGACTAAATCTGATCCTGAAACTTGAGTTTCCTAAAAAGAGGACAGAACAAAATTATGTTTAAACCAAGACTAAATTTTTTAGAATAATGGGGTAAATAAATTATTCAGAGAAATTTTGCATAATGGTACCTATTTGCTTCCACTTATTGTATGTGTACAAGTATTGTTTAGTACTCCTAAAGAATAAAACTGTGAATACATGTTTTAAAACATGGAATAAAGACTCAGGGACCCTGGGACCCCGGTGCCCACCATCTTTTCAAAAATATCGCGAAAAGATTGGTGGAGTCCACTGGAGACCGCAGAGCTGGCGGCTATTTCGCTCAACGCATAAGCCTCGCCATTCAGCGGGGAAATGCCGCCAGCGTCCTGGGAACCTTTGCCGACGGGGAAGACTTAGGGCAGCTATTTTTTTAATATTTTTAATTTTTGTCTAGTTTTAGTGTAGTTTTAGTTTAATATCTAAATGTAAATTGTTGTTTTTCTGATATATTGTTTATTTCCAATATTGTCTTGTTCTTTTTGGAATAAAGTAATTTTTAATTAATGCTTAAACTACCACTGCTCTCAGCGACTGTGAAAAATTGAGAAACATTTTTTTTCTTTGTGTGCTGGTTGTGATGATGTCGCAAGCGTGTACCTTTACTAGGCAACAAATAGTATCGAACTTGAGCTTGACAAATAAAAAGTTGTGCATATTTGCTTTGGATAAGTAAATATATTTTGCCAGCAGTCCCCCTGTCTGCACATAGGTGGTTAAAAAATAATAATAGGTGGTTAAGGGTTAAAAATATAATGCAGTCTCTGTCTTCTCTAACTGTAGCAAAAATTTTGACAATTATTTTTAGACTAATCGTGTCTGTGGTTTAATTTTAGTCACCGTTTTGAAATAATGATAAGTCCAATTAATCATTGCAAAACTAGTTTACATAATTTATGTGAGATTTTTTTATAGGTCACCATAGACGCACTTAATATGATTGTGAATCAACAACCTGATATGGAATCTTGGAAGTTGTCAGTGTCACAAATGGAGAGTATTATGCTTTTAGACCCAGAAGCGATTAAACTGGAGACTACTTTCAAGATTGAGAGAGTGAAGTCTAAATTGGATCTCGAGGAGAAGCAAAATCAAAAAGAAACAGGTATTCATTTTCAACCTCCATGGTGGCGGTTTAAGCTGTTTTTGATTTATTTTGGAAACAGGTTTCGATTTTTTTTTTTCTTTTTATAAAAAAATAATTCATTAAAAATGTCATCTACTGTAAACATGTTAGTTAGTTTTTCAGGGCGGTTTCCGCACTTAGTCCTAATCATTGGACCATTGTGCGTGTCTTGAAACATTCCTGTTTACTTCAGCCAGCCTAAGTTAATCCAGAAGGAAAGCAGCCTTGGAAGACTGCTACAAGCTTCCGGAAGCGATGCTGGCGACTGGAGAAGTTGTGCCCGTTGGTCGGCCACACTCCTGCGTTCCATAATGACATACTGTGGCGTTTCCTCCGCCTCCACACATCCTCTGCATAGGGGGCTGTCTGTTACTCATATTGTGTATAGGTGTTTGTTTAGGGGACAATGACCAGTTAGGGTTCCTATAATGCGGAGTTTGTCCCTATTAAGTCTAGTAAGGGTGCGGGCAAGTCTCTTGTTTGCCGCCGGAACTGATTTTTTCGTTTGCCGGCATCCTTCACCTCTTTTCCACTCAGTCAACTGTAGTTTCTGAATTCTATCACGCAGCCTCGTTTTAATTTGGGCCTGAGGTATAGGCAGAAGAGGTTCCGGACCATACACTTTAGTGTCTGCTCCTCTCTTAGCCAGTTCGTCTACTGCATCGTTTCCGATTGAGTTGCTGTGTCCTTTTATCAATTGCAGAGTTACCGTGTTGGTTACCGCAATGGATTGAAGTGCATTGTGGCAGTCCATTACCAGGACAGTGTTTATTGTGTTGCTACGTAGGGCTTGAAGCACGGATGCACTGTCAGAGATGATCTTAATGTTGTACTCTCTGATGTCTCTGGCTGCAACCGCCTGTGCCGCTCTGGTAATGCCCATACATTCCGTCTGGAAGATTGTGCTTAGTTTGTCTAAGGTTGTAGATATTTTTATATTGAGGTCGTTCGAGAAGACACCGGCTCCAGCACCACTTTTTTTGAAGGTTTTTGGGTCGTATTGGTCCGGAGACACTGCTGGTGACAACATATTCCACAGTTTTGTCGTACGTGGTAAAAAATTTCGACAAAAACGCACGGTTGTGGATAGCCACGCATCAAGATGATGGGGATGAAATTTTTGTCGCGATGTACGATGGCGAAATGCAGCAGCTGGAATTAATCCGAACAATTCCTCAGAACACTCCCCGTGATAAATGCGATAGAAGATGTAGAGCGAAGCTACATCCCTACGCAAAGCCAAAGGATCAAGCTGATCGGAAAGGTCCTGGTCGTCGACGATTCGAGCCGCTCGGCGCTGGATGCGATCCAAAGGGAGAAGCTGGTACTGGGGTGCCCCCGCCCAAAGATGAGAGCAGTACTCCATGTGAGGCCGAACCTGTGCCTTAGAAAGCTGCAGTCGGTGGGCCGGTGTGAAGTACATTCTCGATCTATTGAGCACACCAAGCTTCTTAGAGGCCAATTTGGCCTTGCCCTCTAAATGATCCCGAAACTGGACGTCGCTCGATATGTCAACGCCAAGAATTCCAATACTAGCTGAGGCAGTTAGGGGAGTGTTCTCAAAAAGAGGAGATACGACAAATGGTATTTTTTTTTGCGGTGAACGCGCATACTTGTGTCTTCGTAGGGTTAAATTGGACTAGATTAAGTCGGCCCCAACCCGTTACTCGGTTTAACAAAGTTTCGACTTCAGACACAAGTTTGTTTCGGCACTCGATGACGTTTTCCCGTGAAATGTTGGCGCGGCCGGTATATAGGGTATCACCCGTGCTGTCGTCTGCATAACAATGAATGCCATCAATTTGTAGCATATCATTGATATGAAGAAGAAACAGCGTAGGCGATAGCACACAGCCTTGCGGAACACCAGCGTTTACGGATTTGGAGTCCGAGCATGCACCGTCGACTGCGACCTTGATGCTCCTGTCCGCAAGAAAGCTAGTGATCCAACCGCACAGCTTTTCAGGAAGCTCATAAGAAGGAAGCTTCGAAAGAAGCGCTTTGTGCCAAACCCGATCGAAGGCCTTCGCGATATCCAGACCGACCGCCAATGCTTCCCCCTTGGTCACGATCGCCTTTGCCCAACGATGAGTCAGGTATACTAGTAGATCACCAGCCGAGCGACTCTGACGGAAACCGTACTGGTGGTCACTGATCAGCTGGTGGTTCTCTAGGTACTGCACGAGCTGGCGTATATAGATAGACTCCATTATCTTGGAGAACAAGGAGGTGATGGCTATAGGCCTATAATTAGTAGGGAGTGAGCGGTCGCCTTTTTTAGGAATCGGGTGCACTAAAGCTGTCTCCATGAGTTCGGAACGACACCTAAAGAGTAGGAGAGCCGGAAGAGACGCGTTAGTACCGGAGCCAACTCAAGAGCACACGTCTTCAGCACAATACGTGAGATTCCATCAGGCCCGCTCGACTTGTGGATGGCAAGGGAAAAGAGTGCTTTACGCACTAAGCTTTGTGAGAATCGGATCTCCGGCATAGAGCTCTCACACCGCGGGATGGTCGGCGGTATGTATCCCCTGTCATTTAGAGTCGAGTTAGACGCAAAGAGTGAGCATAAAAGATCCGCTTTCTCTTTTGCAGTATGGGCCATCGATTCGTCGCCATTGTGCAGGGGTGGAAGGGATGGCTTACAGAAATTTCCTTCAACAGCCTTGGCAAGAGACCAAAACGCGCGTGTTCCAGAGGGAAGTTTTATTAATCTCTCGCCAATGCTGCTAATGTGCTCCGACTTCGCTCTGGCAATTACTCTTTTGCAGGATCTGGAGGCCAAGTTATACTTCTTTTTGAGATCGCTAGTGTTGTTATCCCCGACAGCCGCTGCGTTTGCCCAGGCCTGATAACACATCTGTTTTTGGCGAGATGCCAGTTTACAGTAGTGACCAAACCAAGGCTGGGATTTGCCACCAATGGGAACCACAGAGGAAGGAACAAAAAGTTCCATACCCTGAAGGACAACATCGGCGACAGAATCGGCAGCGACGTTGGGTTCATTCTGCGAGAAGCAAACCTGGCCCCAGGGGTAGGATGAAAAGAAAGTGCGCATCCCATCCCAGTCTGCTGACTTATAGTGCCACACACGACGACAGCCAGCAAATTGCGGCCGCGGTGAGTAAGTGAGTGGTACCATACTCCGGATTAGACAATGGTCCGAGGAGCCAAGAGGGGCATCTATGGACACATTGTAATTATCCGGATGTGAAGTCAGCAGAAGGTCCAACAGTGAAGGTGTATGGTCTTCGACATCTGGGATTCGCGTAGGCGAGGTGACCAGTTTTGTCAAACCATAGGCGAAGGCGAAGTCGTGAGCAGATCTGCCTGCATGATCGGTAGTGGGCGATCCTAGCCATTCGGAGTGGTGGGCATTGAAATCGCCAAGGATCACAATTTCAGATGATGGGATCTGCTGAAACACGGAGTCTGTAGCCACCTGGACGTGATCATAAAGTCGGTCAATTTCGGCATTTCCGCTATGGGACCTGTAGAGGCAGGCGTAGACGCGGGGATGGTCATCGACGTCTACACGCAACCATAAGATGGAGAGGTCCCTACCTTCAAAGTTGCTGAGGCGACGGAAACTGATACCCTCTTTAACGTACACACATACCCCAGCCCGTGGTACAAAGCAATGTTCCAAAGTATACCCAGGGTACTGGAGGTAGGAGGTGTCAGCTGGAGAGGATATCTGCGTCTCAGTCAAAAAAAGCAAGGCCGGCTGCACTGTCTGAAGGTGGTGGTCTGAAGGCTGTTCAAGCATTAAGGTTGGAGTGTAAGCCCCTGATATTGCAGAAATCCACGTTAAACGTGGCAGGGGGTGTCGTACGACGCTTGCTCTGGCCTCGAGCAGTTTCAGTAATGAGCGCGGTTTCGCCCTCCCCAGAATACGAAGGGCAGCCTCGACGTCCACGTCCAGAAGGAGACAGTTCTGGGCATGGACGTCCAGAGGGGGATTCTCCAGCGTGAAAACCGCTGGTACCCCCCTGGGGTATTATCCTATTTAACTGCGCCATCATGAGGAAAAGGGGGGGGGGGGGCTCCGGTAGCCTCACTCACTCGGCGAAACACAGCACAAAGTACTGCTTCATGCCGGTATTCTGTGAAGTCGTGGTATTCCTCCGGTCGAGCCGGCCGGCCGGATGTTGTATCTTCGATCAAAGATGTGTTGACCCAATATTCTATCCATAGGTGCCTCCAGGAGTGGGATCTCCTTCGGCCGCCGGTGAATATTGGCTACCATAAAATTTGTTCTAAAATTGCGACCAATTAAACATATATAGTTAAAAAGCTTATTGAATCATTAATTATACTGTTGATTTTGAGTTGATTTGGTGACCTAGTAATGATCCTCGTTACAAATTCTCCTTTCGTTGATCGTAATAGATTATTTTTATACAAAGAGCGTAGTTACCATTTATAAACTTATTACTAAATTTTCACGAATAACGAAAACCAAACAGACAATACTTTGTATGGAGATACCTATCTAATGTGATGGAGATAGTCAGATAGATACATATATAGACTGGTAGAGAATGCCATGCTGGCATTAAGTCCGCCATATGCAATGTAAAGGCATTAAAGATTAAATAAATAAATAAATATATTTAAGAACTTACTTGTTACTTGTTGTGGGCCCCCGTTTCCGCAGGTAGACTCTTAGTTGGTCACAGCCAGCCCAGATCCTTCGAGAAGCGCAGTAGTCTCCTGGGACTCCCACAGGCTTCTAGGAGCGTCCTCGGCGTCCCGAGGATTGATGCCCGGTGTTCTGCCACGCTCATGCATTCCAGGATCACATGAGCGACTAATATATTTAAGATATTTTTAAGAAACATAAATATTAATCACTTTCTTTACCTACCGTCAACAACCATTTTAATTTCATATGTACCTTAATTACTGTATGCATTAATTTCTTTATTTTTTAAGCATGTAACTGCTAGGTGTATAAATCGAAAGGAAATTTCACTAGAATAAAATCCACGGAGCCCAGGCAGCAGGCTTCTTTCGATTTAAACATTAAGCAGTCCATGATTAAAAAATAAATGTATAACTATAAATGCTATTTCTTCCCTTAAATGTTTAATACTTGTAAAGCTATTAATTTGACATTGTGGGTTACCTACAACGCGAAGAGATAGCACTGCCTTGCAGCTTAAGAAGGGCTACAGAAAATTGGACATGACCATCAGGGCTGCGGCAGCATAATGGTCAGTGCATTCGCCCGGATAGCGAAGGGTGCGGGTTCGAGTCCCGTCTGCTGCCTGGTCCGCGTGGAGTTTTTTCTAATAAAATTTTCTTTCAATTTAAACAACTATCAGTTAAATGCAATAAAAGGAAATGTGTTACCTGAGAATTATCCGTATAAGCCTGATTATGATTGTTGAAAAAATGAAGTAATATTTATTTACAGAAGCAAAACTGCCCGAGAAACGTAAGTTGACCAAGGAAAACGAACTTAACCCTCCAACAGCGTCGAGAACAACCAAAGAAAACAGGGGAACAAAAAACGAAGCTCAAATTGGTCATCCAAATAGAGTAACAGAATTCAAAACTGATGACAGTCTCTCTACACCAAACATTTTCACAAATAGTTACAAAAACGACAATGTGGTAAAGAACGAACACAACAAAACCATAAATCCTAAAGAAACTTTTATATGTGATATCTGTAAAAATATATTTTTTTGTAAAAACCAATTGGAAAATCATATAAATAAATCACATACTGAAATTACCACCATAGCTAACAAAAATAATACCATGTCTTATGAAATAAACTTTAATGATAATAAAATCAAATTAAAGAACCACACTGGTTCTGTAACGATAAGCAACCGTGGTCATTCGATAAATAAACGCGACAGTAAGACTGATCTGAAACAAAGACCGTATAACAATAGTACCTGTGATAGACGAATTCACTCGGGAGAGAAACCTTATAAATGTAACGTCTGCGATAAAAGATTTACTGATAAAGGTCCTTTAAACAGACATCGAAGAATTCACACGGGAGAGAAACCTTATAAATGTAACTTCTGTGATAAAAGATTTAATCAAATGTGTAATTTATCCAGTCATAAAAGAATTCACACGGGAGAAAAACCTTATATGTGTAACGTCTGTGATAAAAGATTTACTCAAATTAGTAGTTTATCTAACCATCAACGAATTCACACGAGAGAAAAACCTTATAAATGTGACTTCTGTGATAAAAGATTTAATCAAATGGGTCATTTATCCACACATAAAAGAATTCACACGGGAGAGAAACCTTATAAATGTAACGTCTGCGATAAAAGATTTACTAAGAGTGGTGGTTTGTCCATGCATCAAAGAATTCACACTGGAGAGAAGCCTTATAAATGTAGCGTCTGCGATAAAAGATTTACTCAAATTAGTAGTTTATCTAATCATCAAAGAATTCACACGGGAGAGAAACCTTATATATGTAACGTCTGCGATAAAAGATTTACTATAAGTAGTTATTTATCCAAACATAAAAGAATTCACACGGGAGAATAACTTATAAATGTACCTAGATAATATGTGATAAACAAAATAATATTAACCATTTATAAGCCATTTCTACCAACATCGAAGAATACGGGAAAGAAAGGGAGCCAACGCGCACTTGGGATAGTGATCGACCAATAATTTAGTCCTTATCGTACGATTACCAATTACCGAAGTATTGTTTAATATTTCAATCTCATGGTGTATGATTTCAGAGGGACCAAACTGAAACGTGACTTAAGTGCAAAGGCGGCCTTAGGGGGCCCCATTGCCTCGCTTATTGCAGAACTACATTTATCGGTCGCGTTGTTCTGTGGCTCTTCAGAGAGCTATATATTTCATACATTTATTACAGTAACAACACAAGTACAGTTCTTAGTGCTACTGAATGTATGAAACCGATCGCGTTACAACACAACACGACAGATAAGTATATTTCTGGTTAAACCCAAGTCCAGTACAATCCGAAGTAGACAAAAACTAAATGGAGACGTAAATATGATTATACCAGACGCACTAGATAAGAGGCAATTTTAATAAAAAAAAATGCATGGAGACATTATTAACTAAGCGTATATCCTGTTGTGTAAACACACTTGTGGCATATACTCTACTTCCGTTTCATCCTTATAGATATTCAAAGGTTTCATCGGATCTCAAGTCACAACGCTACTATAGAAGTTTTCATTTCAAAAAGCCAGAATTGTGCTAATAATTAATATTAACTACCAACTGAACGTTTACTGTAATATACCGGGCAAACTTAAATCTTTAATAATGTTCCAAAAATTGCTAAAAGCGCTAGTGAAAAACATCAACCTAGCTCGACATCGAATTACCGATCTTTTGGTATCAACCCTAAGACCGACTTCGTTCAGCTATCCGTCTATTGCGTGCGACGTGCTACAAAGTTACACCTACCTACCTATCTCGTGTCAAATACTCTACTTCCAAATTCCATATACTCTACTTCCGTTTCATCGAATCTCAAGGCGCAACGATATTAAAGATGTTTTTACTTCAAAATATTCATAGGTTACAAACTTTTTTGTTAGCAAAATCTTCGCTTCTTGTAACAATGATGACGTGTGTGATTCTTTTATAATGACTTTGATGATATTAGTGACAATTATTATAGTCGTAGGTTCATAAATAAATATTTTGATATTTTTTCTTCATTTTGTAATTAAAAATTATATTATTAGTTAGCAGTTAGTACATTGAATTTACAAAACAACGATGGTGATTACTTACTATCAGTACGAACCATTATCGAATCCGTAATATCATTGTCATATTTTGTATGGAAACTTGAACAGCAGCACCATATCGGACGTAACGAGAACTAAAAATCAGTACACATTTGACAATGACATTTCGCACTCGCAAACTATTCTAATTCGCTATTGGTTCGTGCTAAAGGTACAGATGAGCCGTCTGCACGTTTGCCATCTATTAACTAATGTATATAAAAACAGTGGTGTCTTGTACTTCACTGTAATATAAACTAAAATTATTATAACAAGAATATTTAGCAGCAACACCACGTTAAATTTTGGACCACTATTCACGACGAAGGCTCTCGACTCAATACCGTATTTATGACCGCTCCACTCGCTAGTCCGTCCCCCCTTCACGTCACGTGATAAGATGGTGGGGAGGTAAGGTGATGTGGCGTGATTTAGCATAGACAAACTGAGATAAAAACAATAACTGTACTATTGACCGATGTGTAAAAAATGCTAATATTATAAAAATGCTAACAATAAGTTCCTTGGAGGTGCCATTCGGGCCTAAGTAAGATAAGCCACTATGGTTCTCATGGCCTCAACAGGCTAGTTGACCCTTTTTGAAAAAAGGTTTTAAATGGTTAATAAATGTTCTATTAGGCCGAAAAAAAATGTATTGTATTTTTTTTAAACCTAGAAAGCTACAAACTTTAATTTTAAAATAGACTTTTCATGGACATACAAAAACGCTGTCGGCCATTTTAGTCTATAGATTATCTATGCTATGACGTGAACTGTGGTAAACAAAAACTCGTAAACACGTAGAAAATTACTTAAAACTGAGTTTATAATAAAAAAAAAAAACATGATTTCTAATAAATACCACGAAAACTAAAGTAATTATCATTACTGTATTGTACGAGAATATAAAAACACATCCTTGAAGACTCCAGGAAAGTTGTGGATTAAAGTGCCGAAAGAAATTAACCTACGCAACTTTATTACATTTATTCATATGTTGTATCAGTTTTATGTTTATTACTACATTGTAATACTAAATGCACTGTACTTACATAGATGCCTTGTCATTTCTCTGCTCCGCAGAGCAGAAATCGGGGTTTAGTTACAGTAACAAATTCACCAACCACCAATGCGTCAATTCTTGGCAGATTTGTGCTTTCTGGTTTCACAAAGCCGGCATCCATAATTAGTTTTGTCAATGTTTTTTTCTTTCCTAAAGTTAAAAGTGTTTTAAGATAAAAGTCAGACGAAAGAATCCACCTACAGTAACACGCGAATGACATTTAGTTGTTTACCACAAGAGACGTCAAAATCATGGCGGATGTGGCGAACAGCGTTTTTAGTGTTTAAAAAATATAGACTAAAAAATATTTTTTAAAATTAAATTTCTACAGCAATCTTCTGCTTTTATGAAATGAAATCGATATATTAAGGTTCCTTAGACTAAATACTTTAAGAAATAAACATTTATTTAATATAATTCGACATGAGTAAACTAGCCTATTATAAGGCAGCGCTTTTGGAGTTTCAATAGTTTTAAAATATCTACGCTATTTCCCCACAAAACAATGCCGTACGGGAGCGATGCGTAAACGGACGCATAATATTCATTTAGGGCAGTCTGTTTGTCGGTGGACCTTTTTAAGTCAAACCCCCTTATTAATAAACGACGACTACGTTCGGATTAGTTACACCATGTTTTGTTTCTGTTTATTAAAATGACAAATGGCATTTGAGTGACATGAACAAAACACGGCATATCCAGTTTAAACTTATTCCTTGTTTATGTAGAAGTGCCGGAGCTTTATATGTTTAGTGCGACTGTGGTATTCATGTGGTGGATTGTAGGCTAGTTTAACAGCACTCTCGATATCAACACTTACTGACAGGAAGTTCTTATTAGTAAGCTGCATCAACTTTTTCTTTCTTTAATCTTAGTATTTGTTTTGAAGTTTCGCTAGCAGCTACTAAACCAAGGTGTTTATACTCTCATCTCACCCCTTATTGCCTTTAATGGAACAACTTGCGGCCTCTATGGAAAGTAACCCCTATTGGCATAAGAAATCGGTTCCTCCCTTGATTAAAAGATACACGGAGCTTAAACGCTCCAGTTCACGCATTAGCCGTTATTCGAAGCCTCCTGTCTTTTCTTTCCCATACGAGTCTTTGCACTTCAGAACACAAAATATTATTTTAGATCTGGGTATAGCGAAATCCGTCTGCAAAATCGGAGTGCAGGTCAATAGTTGACAGTCGATGGCAAGGTTGGGACCTTTTCTTCACTGACGCTTCTAGAATGTCGGAGACAAGCTGTACAGGAGTTGCAATTAACTTTCAGAATTCCAGAATATCCCTCCTGTTCCACTGCCCCCCAGAAACGTCGGTCTGTATGGGCGAGTGCATAGGAATATTATCATCATGTATATATTATATGTATCTGTATCTATATATATATATATACTAGCTGACCCAGCGAACTTCGTACCGCCCTAAAAAAATAGGGGTTGTCCAGCGGACAAAATTGTGAATCTAAACCATTCTCAGATCCCCTTGAACACACACAAAAAATTTCATCAAAATCGGTCCAGTCGTTTAAGAGAAGTTCAGTGACATACACACTCACAGAAGAATTATATATATAAAGATATATATTTAAAATTAGTGTGTTATGTTTGTATGTATTACATTATTTTTATGGTATGTATTTATTTATGTATCTATGTTTTTTGTACATATATTCGTATTTAGCTTTATACCGCCGTTCGTGTTTTTCATTTTCCCCAAAGGTTGACTGGGAGAGAATGCTTTTAGCATTAAGTCCGCCTTTTGTACCATTGTTATATTTTGGTCAATAAAGTCTATATAAATAAATATTGGAAGCCGTGGAATACATTGAAAGTCATAATATTAAAAACTGTTATCTTTTCGGATTCGTACAGTGGTGTTCAGGCGTTAATACAGGACTCCGTTTACAGCTAAATAAAAAGTGTTATAGTCATCCAAATTATAATGCGATTCAACTAAGAATAGGACCGACTGGGCGCCATATTGTGATGTCTTAGCTGTCAATTCAAACCAAATAGGTAGAATGAGCAAAAACAAGTTTTTATTGAATAAAACTTATTTACTATAAGATTAAGTGAGAAAAAGCATCAGATTTTTTTAATAACATTTAGATTGAGAGAAAAAACCACCGATTTTTAATAATATTTATTTATTAAGACTGTGAGAAAAAACATTAATCAGAATCTAGCTCTTCTATTCCGCTCATCTCTGCACTACCGCCGGAGTAGTTATGAATAATCATACACTATTACTAGGTCACATACGAACATGCATCCTTTATGTAAACGAAAGATTGAAATCGAGTTTCTGAATGCAACTTAAAGTGACATTTGGTTGACGATTTAGGTTATCAACCATTCATGGCCAAAGCTCAATAAGTGAAAAAAAATATCAACCGATATTAATTACCAATATTTGTTATTGTTTCTTTACAAATGTTTGGTTTTTATTCTTGAAATAGCAGAGTGCTAAAAGAGGGTTCCAAGTGTTTTTTGCAAACCGTACTTTTCAAGCGACATTTGACAGATAGAGGTCATTGGCTTTCCTATTCTTATTTGAATTGCATTATAGAAACAAATTATTAAACTGCGAAAGAAAAGATCTGACCGTTTCAATTGCTTGGATTCCTAGTCATTCGGACATTGCAGGAAATGAATGTGCAGATTCCCTAGCAAAGTATGCCGTTTGTAATGAAGTTGACCGAAAACACTTCTTTGTAAGAAATTATGATCTTCTGAATTGTGCTAAGGCTGAGTTGAATTCATCTTGGTCTTCGGATTGGCGACAAAGCTCAAAACATAAGGGTATGGTATATGCATCTGTCCAACCGGATATACAATTAAAACCGTGGTTTTACAAAAGTAAGCACTTACCTAAGCAAGTTAGGTATATCAGTTTTATCAAGATTACGCCTCGGTCACTGCTGTTCCCCGGTATTCTTACTTAAGCTCCATATTCGAGACAATTCATTGTGCGAATGTGGGCTTGATGAGGGTATAATAGACCACATATTTTTCTCTTGCGCAAAAAATCGAAAATCTTTTAATCTCTACAGCGAATTGATAAAAATTAAGGTACCGCTTCCAATAAACATTCGATCACTTTTGGCAAGTTTTTATTCTCAAATAATTCTTATCTTAGCGAAATTTATTCATGATAACAATATTAAAATGTGAAGGTATACTGTAACTACAACTCTAAATTCATTGAGCGAATGTGGTCTTAATGAGGGTACAATAGACCACATATTATTCTCTTGCGCAAAAAATCGAAAATCTTTTAATCTCTACAGCGAGTTGGTAAAAATTAAGGTACCGCTTCCAATAAACATTCGATCACTTTTGGCAATTTTTTATTCTCAAATCATTCTTATCTTGGCGAAATTTATTCATGATAACAATATTAAACTGTGAAGGTATACTGTAACTACAACTCTAAATTCCTGGTATCCTCCCTTTAATATAACAATAATAATTCATTAAACGGTGTGGTTCAAAAAAAACTAATTTAAGTGCACGTCTTTCCAGAAATTCACTGACAATTCGACGCTGATATCTCTCAGTACGGGACGCTGGCAGATGGGCTTCAGAAGGAAGGCACATTAGCCAAAAAAAAAATTATCTATGACTATTATGATATCTGGATATTGATGTCGATTCTGGCATGATTCTCTAAAGCTAAACTTAAATTTGACAACAGTGTATCTTTGTCCTTCTCTATACAGAATGAAAAGGACAGACTGATGTTAAGTTTTAAGTTTAGAGAATCCTGTCAGAATCGACACCATTGTAGTTAGTATGGGTAGTTATGGGTAGTCATACTCTCTTAATAGTCTCTTCGGCGGTGTCGTGTGAGGCGGGTCGTTACGTTCCCTAAAGTATGGTTGAGCGAAGCGATGGCTGGTTCATGCGTCATGCTCGTGAACGGGTGCTGCCAGCGGAGATGAGTCTGCCCTAACTTCCTTAATATTGAAGTTAATGTTTAGTCACACTTAATATAATTAACACTATTTGTATTTATACTGTATGACACAGCAATCAAAATGCAGGTAAACAATGAATGTATATTTAATAATTATGTAATATTTTTCAATTTGACGACTCTGTAAATAATAAAACAGGGAGAAAAAAACAGCCCTTGCTGAGTTTCTTGCCGGTTCTCCTCAGTACAAGGTCTCCCGCCGTAGATTTACGAACCGATAGCGTAGCTTCTAGACATTCATGAGTGCTTGTAACAGCCTAAACTGAATAAATGATTTTGAATATGATTATGATTATTAACTGACAAAACGACGGCCATCACCATAACGTCATTGCAAATGCAAAATATAGCCACAGTTTTTCGGTGTCAGGGCATATCTAACGATTCGAATCTTTGGTATCTTCCTTTTTGTTTTAATCTAAGCTTATAACTAATTTTTTCATCAGTCTTTCCTCTTCATTCTGTATAGAAAATGACAAGGATACACAGTTGTCAAATTTAAGGGTGCGGCCAGAGTGCACTCAGATTCAGATTCTGAAAACAAGCGTGAGAAATAAACAGTGTACAGTCCATCAAATCTAAGAAGTACCGTTTGACAGTTCTGACAAATTGAATAATAGGGATGGGTTTTAAAAATTCGATTACTATGATATCTGAATTTTAAGAGATCGATTACTATAATATCCGATTTTTAAGAGATCAATGACCATAAGATCCGAAATTTAAGATAATATTTCTCTGTACTCTTAATAAGTTATTGTAAAAGGTTGTTTATTGGTAAATTTAGGTTTTACTAGTAATCTGAGGATAGAATACCGAAAAAATCTTAAGGTTCTCGAAATCGAAGCATTTAAATAAAAGTAATGTTTAGGATATTTTTTTATTCACTGCAAGTACTGGAATCATTGTCGTCCTCGTCATCATCGTCATTTAAATTAATGACTAGTTGATTATCCATGAAATCATCGAATTTTACGTCTCTGTCGAAGTCGTCCATTATTATTTTCTTTGTTTTTTCTACTACTTTTGACCAATTTTCTTGTGTAACTTGCGCACATGCTTCCTTTAATAAGCCTTCCATTTTCTTGACACTGAAGGGTGGTTTTGTGTTGTGTCTTGCTGCATAACCTGTAAAACAATTATATAATTATTAGGTGGGAGACTTTGACTATTTTTTAAATTATAAAAGCTAGAGGCACTCGTGTTATGTGGCTACAAAATGTGTTAAGCTAATCTTGCAATATTTTGTTAGGTAATGTACAATTTACACAACTGCGAAGAAGAAGGGTAATGTTTTATAGTATTACTGTACTTAACGGAAAATCTCAATTCACAATATATTTCAGCTTATTAAGAACAAGTTTCTGTTAATAATATAATCAACTACAAAAAAATATTATTATATTATACCTTTAACTTGGGCCCAAATCAGTTCAATGGCATTATATTGGCAATGGTACGGAGGAAGTCGTATGACTTTGTGCCCGTATTCTTCGGCTAATTGGTCAATAGCATAAGTCGGTCTTGATGGTTTATGCAATTTCACTAAATGTAACAATTCAGCTTTTAATAGTGACATGTCGGCTTCCACTCCTTTTCTTTGCAGCCATGCCACCAAATCTGCTTTCTTATTGGCTGATGTTGGTGCTTTATCAATTTGCACAGAGTGGTATGGGGCATTATCCATTATAATTGTGCTGTTAGGAGGGATATTCGTTAGTAAATTTAAGAACCACTCTTGGAACTTTTCCGCGTCCATTTCTTCATGATACTCTTTTGTGCTTTTAGATTGGAAAGCTAATAATGAATTTTCCACGAAACCTGCAGACGCTGATCCAGCATGGCATATAATGAGGCGTCCACCTTTCCCTATCGGCACTTTCGAGCACGAAGCTTCAGAATCATCTGTCCATGTTTTCGGCACAGAGTGGTTGGAATTTAGCCATGTTTCGTCCAAAAATATTACATTATCCCAGTTTATAATTTGTTTTACTTCGCGCAGGAATGTTAGTCGCTGCATAATTATGTCATGTCGCTCCATAACAATTTTTCGTTTGTCAACTTTTTTGTATCTGAAGCCAATTCCTGTTATTATCGTTCTCAACGACTCTATGCTTCCCTTGTACAGCCCGGCATCTTCTAAAGTTGCACATAACTTTGCCAATGTTGGAAATTCGCCTCTTGTAAAATAACCATAGATATGGTTTCTAATAGCATGGCTATCGAAGTCATCGATACCTGTCACAGGTTTAGTTCTTTTCCTTTTTTTCGGCGTGTGAAGTACGTTACTGTCACTCCCCGAAGGCCCATATTTTTCGCTTAATATTTTGCCGACGGTGCGGCTACCAATACCGAGAGCTTCACCGACGCGATCCCGAACTTGTGTAACTGGCAGTAGAGCTCCACCATTTTGACATTCACGCTCAAAATACTCGTGTAATTTCACCACCAATTCACGAGCCTGGCTGTTCAAAGTACGTCCTCTTTTCGACATTATTAATAAACACTTGCTTAGTTCAGAGTCCAGAAAAGTAATAGCCAAGTCACAAATTGTAAAACACAAACGAGAAAGTAGGTACGCGCACAGTCAGCTTCCAAGATGGCGAGAGACTGCTGACGCGGGCGAGGGGGACCGCGTGCGATTGTGGTCGGCAGTGTTGTCTGATAATTTTTTTTTTTTTTCTGGAGCTATTTCGCCTATATAGATTTGTTTGAAAATAATTAAATTAAATTATTTTAGGGTACCTATGTATTAAATGCATTATGCGATCGAGCAGTAACGTGAAATTATACAAAAATTAAATTGCGCTCTACCCCTAAACATTACGTCGAAAATTCGCTTTCTGGCCGTGGTCTGACATTGGCCATAAGCGCTTCTAGCGCTTACAACATCGTAATCTGAGTAGATTATGGACCGAGGCATCAAATTTGATCATTTTGTCATCTGTCATGTATTTTTACAAAGTCGTTAATTGATAATTTGAAAGTAATAAATTCGATTTTCCGAATAATGTACACGATTTTTTCGTACACAATTGATTCCGAAGAGTCGCAACACTACGAGCAGTGACCTAACTATGTGACTTGCAATGAGGTCAAGAATAGAACTATTAGAACTTATTTATTGTGTAAATATTGTTTATTTTGCATTGTTTGAAAGTTTTCAATTAAATTTAGATATTAAGAATTGTACATTTTTAGATCCAATAATAAAACCTTTATAAATTCATGGTTTTACGAAAAAGGTTATCGAATTTGAGTAAGTTACGCTTAAACAAAGTTATATCTGTTTGAAAAACATGAAACGTCAAACGGTACTTCTTAAATTTGATGGACTGTAGTCGAAGGGTACGGCCAGAGTGCGCTCCTGATTCAGATTCAGACTCAGAAAACAAAGCGCGAGAAAAAGCAGGCAACCTGCTTCGACTACACTGTTTATTTCTCGCGCTTGTTTTCGGAATCTGAGTCTTTCTGGCCGCACCCTTAGGTTAGGTTTTTAATAGTTAGGGAATCACGTCAGAATTGACATTGACACTAGGGATACAAAGTCTTATATCGATATTTTTATCGAAGTCAGGAAAATATCGATATCCGATATATCAACCATTTAACTCGATATATCGATTTTTTTTGCTTTGTATTAAGTTTGCAAAGCAAAACCCTATAATCAAGGAAGCAAAGGTTCCGAAATATCGATATTTAGAATGTGGGCAGGTAAATATCGATATCCGATCCGATATATCAGCCATTCCAAAATTTCCAACACGATATTTTCTATATTTTTATAGCGCTGTAAGAAGTATCAAATCAAAAGCAATTTCAAATCAAAGATATTTATTTTGTAAAAAATGTTTGCACGCAGCCAAAATCAGAATAGATAATCATATGAAAAACAATTGTTATGTATTAGTAAAACCTACACATCAGGGGCGTGCCCATGGCTTCAGAATAGGGTAAGCCTAAAGCTTCCAAAATTACTATACCTATCTTACTTTCTCGACTTGGCGATCTTAAAAAATTTACGATTTGTATAAGATTCCTAATTTTATTTTGTGTTATATTACAATGATATTAAATTTCAATTAATCAGTAGTTGACAATTATCTAGAAAGAGAGGCAAGGATTTTATTTAAGTGCATGAGTTACCATTAGTTATACGATTATACCTATATACGTTGGTGTCGATTCTGGCATGATTATTTAAACTTAAAACTAAATTTAACATCAGTCTCTTCTTTTCATTCTGTATAGAGAATGACAAGGATACACTGTTGACAAATTTAATTTTAGGTGTAGAGAATCATGCCAGAATCTACACCAGTTTAGTATATTTCTTGGGGTTCAAGGTTTTTTTTATACATCTATAAGCTTTTGCGATTTCAAAGCAATAGTTATTTCGATATTATTCAATTTAGATAGTCATAGCAGGTAAATTAATTGATATTATTGTGTTCAAATTTAGTCTACGAAATATCGATATTTTGGAATTTCCGATATCGATATTATCGATATCATTGAATTTTAAATATCGATATAAATATGGTTATTTTGGTCTCGATATTATCGATATTCCGATATATCGTTGCAACCCTAATGACACCTTAATCTTGGTAATGTGAGTGTTATTTGTTATTTGTTTTTGTTGTGAATTAAAAATAAATGCGAGTGAATCCTGTTTTATCGCAAAAAGTTTACTGAAAATATGCAGTAATGACTCGTTTACAAGCATGCAGAGTATGCTTGGCACATGATGGCCGTATGTATTCAATATTGAATGGGCCACTTCAAGCGATTTATGAAAATATCACTGATATTCCGGTAAGATCTTATCTCTGATTGCCATAGCTGTGGTCTAAATAATTTGTTTGATGAATTCTTCTTTACGCTCTTTTAAATCGAAATTAAATTAATTGGTGATGGTGAACAAAGTGGTCTTGGAAACCTAAATGTAATTTTCTGGACAAAACCGGTACCAACTAGGTCCAACATAATAATGAAACCATTCCACTCCAATAAAATTCCATTTCAGTTTATTATATCTTTGATGTAAGCATTAAATTATTATAAATTCTATATACTTAGGTACTTAAATAAAAATGTTATTCAGCATACAGGTTGTATGGAAAGACCATGTGGATTTTGTTTTGTAGTATAAAGTAATCCATTTTACTCAATATTAATAAAAAAGATACTTGAATATGTATAATAATCAGTCATCATAGTTACATATGGAAAATTTTAGTTTACAAGAAAAAAAATCATTTTTCATTTAGTATACTTTTGGTCCACTCTGCCAATGCACTGATCAATATTTATGATGGATCTGAGATATGCAAATTTTTCCTGTGATTCTGATTATTTGGGAAGATTTATACATCAAAAGTATGTGTTTAAAGGTTGATGAT